TGGCTGACAGACATCTTGACAGCTCCTGGCAGTAGTCGACGAGCAAGACGTTGTCTGAGTGACAGGGCAAGAAAGAGACATCTGCAAATATTCCTTATTTACCCCTTCTTACGAATTTGCATCAATATCCTTCGAAAAAATCTCCTCGTATATAAAGACAAAGTCATTCGGCATGGCATTTTTTTTCTGGGTCCTTTCAGATTCTTTTCCCCTAGAATGCGATCCACCCACAACATTCGTCTTAACATCGAGGAACCTATTTTCTGCAACGTAAACGAGGGAAGCAGGTTTAATTAAGGGGACTTTCTCATACATTTCACCTCGCCTCGGATGCGAAGCCAGGTCCATTCAGCTGTGAGTCTTGTGGTCTAATTGTATTTAATTTTATTGAATATAATTATTTTAGAAGAACACAACACTATATGAAGTACAATTAGGTAAAAGTTTGCAAGATTACATTTAAATGAAAATAAGGATAAGCTCAGAATTAATAGTAACTCGCCTCTTAAATTTAAAATTAATTAAAGAACAGTCAAAAATAGAACAGCGTAATAAAATAGAGAATAAAAGAGGAAGTAAATCATTTGTTGACATGAAAATGCAGATTCCCTCTGGTTTTGTAATGGAAGTTTGAGACAGCAGCTTCACTGTGACAAAAATGCAAAAGGCAAAAGGGGGTCAAATGCTGATGGAAAATGTGCTTGCATCTTAAGTGAACAAGAAATAAGTTCTCTCTGATGCTCTGGTGCTTGTGTGCGACAAAGGATCCCTAGGTGTGTGGGCAGTAGTTTCAGTTATCTAGATGTTGTAGTGGGTCCGCAGAAGTTGGGGTTAATCCCTAGATGTTGGGGGTGAGCTTCCAGGCTTGAGGAAGGGGATTCTAACCGTGAGAGGGTGAATATATGGAGATGGAATGTGGAGAAGGATCCGTAGATGCGCGGGGAGGGTCTCTACAACTCAGTGATGTATTACATTGCACTACGCAGTAGCTGACAGAAATATCACTCAGATTACAGTAGTACCGCTCATTACACGACTCAGGAAAGCTCAGAAGTCAGTGTAAGGTAAGAGTTTAAGTACAATGGAGGGTTACTGCAAATGGAAATGTTTTCGAACTCTGACGTACTACGAGGATAAAGGTGGAAGGAATAGAGGAGTAGAGAGAGTGAAGGAAGGAGGCAGAGAAGGAGGGAGGGAAGGAATAAAGGACTGAAGGAAGGATTGTAAGGTTGGAATGATCACTTCCATAATAAATCAAATTGAAAACCAGAAGCAGAGCAACAGGGAGAATAAGCAACAACAGGTACCAAGACGACCTGGAGCAACAGATAGTAAAAGTATCAGGAACAAAACGTACTCAGAATGCCAGGAACGACAGTTTTCCCGTGATCTTCTCTGGGGAATCGGGCGAAAGTATTTTAGTATACTTTTGTTGACAGAAGTAATTGTGCTCATTTACCTGAGTCTGCGAAATCCGTTTATCTATTTTAGAACCTACTTCTAATTTATCAAGCTTGTTTTATTCCCTGTTTCTTTGTTCTTTTCAGAGTGTGTTGGACACTGGGGCAAGAATGCGTGCGTGCACGCGAAACACACACCACACACACACACACACACACACACACACACACACACACACACACACACACACACACACACACACACACACACATACACACACATACACACATCAAGAAATTGACCTGACGAGACTGGAGGACAGGAGGGCCAAGAGAGACATGATAACGGCATATAAAGTACTGCGCGGAATAGACAAGGTGGACAAAGACAGGATGTTACAGAAATGGGACACAGAAACAAATGGAAGTTGACGACTCAGTTGAGTCAAAGGGATATAAGGAAATATTTCTTCAGTCATAGAGTTGCCATCAGTGGAATAGCCTAGAAAGTGACGTAGTGGAGGCGGGAACCATACATAGTTTCAAGACGAGGTTTGATAAAGCTCATGGAGCAGGGAGAGAGAGGACCTAGTAGCAATCAGTGAAGAGGCGGGGCCAGGAGCTATGACTCGGCCCCTGTAACCACAAATAGGTGAGTACAAATAGGTGAGTACACACACACATATATACACAGAGTGTGATTGTGCGTGGATACAAATTAAGTAAATCAAGTTTAATGGCAAATTTTTATCTTTTCTCAATCGGTCCTGTATTTGGGAAAATGAGTATATTTTCACAGGGAGTTTGTTACCTTCCCTCGCCGCGGGAAGTCGTTGCCCGAAGGGACTGTAAACAAACTGAATATCACGAATGTTCCTGCCTGTATGTCTCTCAGATTTCACGACATCACTCTCCTCTTCCTCCGTCTCGTTGCGTACTTCCTCCCTCCCTCCCTTATGCCATCTCTCACTTTCTTTCCCTCCTCTTCATTACCATGTCTGCCTTTCGTTGCCCGACGTCGACTTTTGACCTGTTACTTCTGACATGCTCGTAACATGATTCTCTCTCTCATGTCATTCACTCATATCACTCTGCTCTTCACTCACACTCTTAATTTAGTGGCAGTATATAAGAAAATAAGTCCTTCAGTTATCAAAAAATTTAAATCAGTTTAGAACCCAAAATACCTGCGAGGATTCTTAGATCAGAACAGGAATATATTAAAACAAATGTAATTTAGAAAAACAGTTTCAACAAGTCATGACTCGGTTAATGTTACAAAAAAACGATTCTAAAAGCTTAGATATCTCCAGTGAATACTTGATTTGTCTGCCTTCTAGCATCCAGCTGTTACTGGGTTTTCGTAACAAGTAGTCAGTATCCTTGTCCAATTATCCATTAAAATTCAGTATGGTTCAATAGTGCTTTAGGATTACAACTGGTAGGCTACTAACTAGAGAAATTAAAATTTAATAAATTTATTAAGTCTATAAGTTGTCTAGAGGTGGATATTATCAAAAGTAAATTAATCATAGCAATCAAAATAAATCAATCTCTCGAGTTCAAATATTATTGTGCGAAAGACACAATCACATATTTTAATTTAAGTACCGTCAGGTACATTAACATTTAATAGAATATTACAAATATGTCAATGTAAGGGGTATGCGTGTAAGTGCCTTAAGTAGTTAGCTATGCTCAATACTCGAAAGACTTAACAAGTGACTGACAAAGTCTTCAAATAACTAACTTCTTGACGAGAGGCGAGCCCGAACAGTCTGCTTGAACAACAAAGAATGTAAGCCAAATAATGCAATATGCACTGCGACACAATCAGGATTCAAGGAGAAAAATATAACGACACTAAGTAGGGACATCAGCAGATCCTCCACGAAAGTTACAGAACTCCCATAATACTGAATCTACGTTCAGCATAGGAAAACGCACTGTGACAATGCACAGAAAACCGTACAAAATTAGGGTCAGAAGTTATATAAGGACTGGATGCTCCTGTAGTGTTCTAGTAACACACACATCTCAGTACAACGTTCGAAAATCACTAAGTCTATACAATGTTCTGTGAACAAAGTTCTACGAATAACAAAATAATGAGACAGACATTTCTGTCCAACCACCAAGCAGTTCTTCAGCAGACTGACTACTTCACACGAGGTGAGGACACCCACCCCCTCGATCACTGATAGCTACGTGGACAACTTCCAGCTCAGAAGCCCGGTCCAGTTATACGAGCGACTGCGTTATAATTAGCTTAGCAATCAAGACTAACTGAGCACATTTTTATACATCCTAACAACATAAGCTAAATACAATATAACAGTCAATATTAATATAGCATACATTTAGATTAGCTATTATCGCAAATATAAGCAATATAAAATTAAATGAAAAAGTAATATCACATTTACAATACATAAATAATCATTGTAACACATTCAGGGGTTTGCAAACAAGTTAAGCTTCCATATGATTTGATCAAGTCATGAAATGAGAAAGTTTACATTGACTTTATCAAGCCATGATTTGAGAAACATCTCTTTAACTAAAGTCATGATTTGTTAAAGCTCTCCAATCAAGACTTGATAAAGCTGTTCATGAGGGAAATATTGTGTCAGAAAAATTTTGCTCTGCTCTACATATCTTCCTATTACCATCGATTTTTTTCATTTTTCCTGACGAACGAAACACCTCCACCAGTCACCACTTTGCATCATTAAACTTCTGCAGTGAACAGAATCCAGATTACGTAATTGTGCAAACTTGCAGTTGAATCTACCAATACAATATTTTCTTTCATGAAGAGAGCTGAATTTTAATTGCAACTTTATTTAAAGTTGAATTTGTACTTGAAAATTTCATTCCGAAATTGAATTTGAAGTGCAGTTTTATAGCAATGGCAGGCAAACTGTTCACCTTTCTAAGTGTATTTGTTTTAACCCCTTTGTAATTCAAATGTGAGACTGAAACTGTGTACTGATATTTTAATTAGAATTTGATGTAAGGTGTAATTATAATGGAACGGGAAAATGAGTGTGAATTTAAAATTAAGCTGTGTATTTTAATGGATTAGAAATGAGTTTTCAGCTCATTTTTCAATTCCTTTTGTGTTTCTTGGCCTGACGAGTGACAGATTGAAGGTTGTACTTCCTGACGAGTTAAGTGAGGGAGATGATGTTAGGAATAGCTTTTCTACCACTCACATCATACCCACAGACTGAAGATTAATGTTTAAATGACGTTTCGGTCTTGTATTTGTCTCGGCTCGGGATGTTTCGAAGCATAGTCTAAATATTTATCTCCAGTTTGTGGGTAAATTATGAACTGTTGCAACCACTGTATAGTGACTTATCCAGTATCCCTACACCTTAGCATCAATACCCATCATTCTACATCATCTCCTTTTCATTTATCCACATAATTTCTTCTTTCCCTCCATCTTCCTTCATGACTTTGTTTTCAAGAATTTCCCTCCAACCCTCTTACCTCATTTAACTACTCCATCAGTTTCATTCCTCCATCTTTCCATTTTGGGAGCACTGCAAGCACCATCTTTCACCGCCCATCCCCAGGGGTTGGGCGGTGATGGTCTTCATCTCTCAGACGCCCACCTTCGCCCCCTACTCCAATTTTCAAAGCGTCATCTCAAATCTGTGTCAACAATATCATTATATTGACAGGTCAGCATCAACAGGGGCTCATTATTTTCGCTCGCGCTTTCCCTAGTTTGTGTCGTTGCCAAATCTTTTAAGTTCCTGCGATCAATAGCTTACATATTCGCTATTGCGTGAGTATGCACTAGTTTATTCATGTGTTTGCTATATCCTGAGTTCACTAGTTTTTGAGTTCATTAATTTAAAAGTTTGTTGGCATGTTAGCTTGCAAGTTCAAGCGCTTCTTATTTCTTCGTTCTATAGCACTTGTGGAAGCTAAATCAGGACTTTCAAGTTCGTTCATGAGTTAATTTGGGATTTCAAGTCTTCTGTTGTTCTTTCTCTCGTAGGGTCGTGTTTTTCTGTGCTTTGTATGTCCACTTGTTCATGCGTTCACTAACTTTTAAAATGTCAAAATCATGTGTTCAGTAATTCGTAAGTGATTATATTTGTACGTTTGATCGTTAGTATAAGCTTTTGATGACCGGCATATCTTCGCTGATCTGTTAATGTGAACAATTTGCAGTTTTACGAGATCATGAAATTAACGCTGTTTTGTTTCCATTGTTTAAATCGAGCATTGTGTGTGTCCCTCACATAATCTCAGCACAGCTGTACGTACTCCTCTACTGAAAGGCAATTATATATACTGTATCAGTCCTTCTAATGTAACAGTGCCATACACTGGAAACGCGGAAGAAGAGAGAACGAGAGAAGGCAAAGTAAAAAAGAAAGAGAAATTAGAGGGGAAAGGGAGAGAAGGGAATGGATAAAAATTTGGACGGAACAAGGGAGTGACAAGAAACTATGAAAGACTGGAAGTACGGAGGAGAGGAGAAGGTGAAATGGGGAAAGGGCTGGATGGGAGGGAGGGATATATGGAGGAAGGGTAATGGAAGAATTTAGGCAGTCAGCTTAATGAGTGATTGAAGGGGCAGGAGAGGATGATGATAGTGACACAAGTGAAGATCGACAGAGATTGACTGCTTCTAAATCAACAGCCTCTCATGTGTAACAGCAAGGCTGTGGAAATCTTTTTGGTTCGAGTCGAGGAAGATAGGAGGAATCCAGTTCATCCTGTGGAGGAGTGAAGGACTCTAGTTCATTTAAAGAAGTGGAGAAAGCATGTTTTTGTGCGTGATGCGTGGAGGGATCTCTTTCATCTCGCTCTCTCTCTCTCTCTCTCTCTCTCTCTCATCTCTCTCTCCTCTCTCTCTCTCTCTCTCTCTCTCTCTCTCTTCTCTCTCTCTCTCTCTCTCTTCTCCTCCCTACCTTCCTTCCTAAAATATCCCTCCCACCAGTCCTCCCTCCCTCACTGCCTTCTCCCCCCCCTCACCGCCTCTCACCCTCACTGCCTTCCACCCCCACGCCTCCCACCCTCACTGCTCCACCCCCCCACTCCCACCCTCACTGCCTTCCACCCCACCGCCTCCCACCCTCGCTGCCTCCCACCCTTACTGCCTCCCCCTTCACTGCCTCCTCCCTCTACTGCTCCCTCCTTCACTGCCTCTCTCCCTCACTGTCTCCCTCCCTCACTGCCTCTCTCCCTCACTGCCTCCCACCCCTCACTGCCTCCCACACTCACTGCCTCCCACCCTCACTGCCTCTCTCCCTCGCTGCCTCCCACACTCACTGCCTCCCACCCTAACTGCCTCCCACCCTCAACTGCCTCCCTCCCTCACTGCCTCCCTCCCTCACTGCCTCCCACCCTCACTGCGTCCCTCCCTCCTTCTTTCTGACCATCTCTCCCTCTTTCCGTTCTCCCTTGTTCTTTTCTCTTCCTCTCTTTCCCTCCCTCCATCTCTTCCCCCTTCTTTCTATCTCTCCTGTAACTCACTTCGTACAGTCCTTGATGTGGTCTGATTATTTAGTTAGCCATTATTAGTGTTAAATTTGAGATTGTTACTACATTAAAATTTTCTCTTATACGTTTAAAAATACATATTTTTTTTCATTTATGTTAATGTAAAAATTAATAATTTTGTACCAAAAGAACCTTAGAAAACTTACCTAACCTTATAAAAAGCTTAATTTCGTTTAGCCTTATCCAACTAAATTTTATTTTAGATAATTTACAGTAATTTAATCTAAACAAACGCAATGAATATACTTTTTTTCGTTATGTTCAGAATGATTTTTGGAAATATTGCATGCACAAATTTTGCCTTGTCCTATATGGCAAGATGAACGTTGCTATTTAAGCCAAATCGCAAGTTTTGCTATTATATATATATTATATATATATTTTATATATATATATATATATATATATATATATATATATATATATATATATATATATAAAATATGATATGGAGCGGTGGAGATGCTATCTCCGTATGATGCTCTAAGGCCTTACACAGTAATATGTAAGTGTTGCTACACCGTGTTGCTACGTCCCACACTTGCTCAGAGACGATGGCGACAGCTGCCGACACGAGAAAAATGAATGTCGCTCTGTCTCAGTTAACACTACCTCATTCACAGTCACCTATTTTTTACTCTACGTCATTTTGGGGACTTAGAATTGTTGCATTTAGTTTTGTTTGTAGCTTCTATTTATATACTCTGTACACTGTTATTTTTGTGGTACAGTACATATTTCCACTGCTATTATTGGTCATAACTCAGGCCTCGTTCAGAGCAATCATAAAATATTGCTGCGCACTTACGAACGCATACCTTATGCAATAATCCTGAACGAGCGTTTAAAAATACAAAATAACCACAGGGGGAGATATATCAATAAGAGCACTGCGACTAGCCGGGGGCTCGAACCCGTGTCGTCTTAGCCTACCTCATGGTGAGCGAAAATTCACGACTCTCTAACCCACAGGACCACCCAATCCTACATAGATCACGCACCTAGCAAAACTATGTGTTGTACCGTGATCCGACGACATATGATGGTGTGGGTGCCTCAGATCTATTTTCATTCTACTCCCCGTTTGGTGTACTAGCCTTCACAAGCAGTATATATATTATTGTAACTACGAGTGAGTGGTATTAAATCAATAACAACATTGTGACTAGCCAGGGGCTCGAACCCGAGTAGTTTTAGCCCGCCTCATGGTGAGCGAAAATTCACGACGCTCTGACCCACAGGACCACCCAATTCCTACAAAGATTACGCACCCAGTAGAGCTAGAAGTTGTGCCGTTATCCGAAAAAGAAGAAACACTACACCATCATTCATTCAGTCATTTTCTTGGCAGAAGTGGGCTGACATCAGAATTCAGATCTTTCTCCAAAATGTATCATTCGCACACTTCATACAAAGGGAAGGTACTGCCATTTCTACCTCCAGGACTCAAATCCGACTAACCGGTTTCCCTGAACCCCTTCATAATTGTTAACGTCCTCAAACTCCAACAGAACCTCAAATCATATAAAACACTTAAACCTTTACTCAAGTCTGTCGCACACGGTCACACAAGCCTGTTGGATGCCCAAGCCTCTTACACAAGATGTTTTAATTCAGGATAGATAGGTTCATTTTGCTCTTGGTGTTTTACCAAATCACTAGACTGGTGACTAGTGGTCAATATGCTGAGGTCAGTGGTCACCTGCGGTCATACCTGCCTAAGCTTTTGAGAGTTAGCGTGGGTTGTTACCTAGCACCATGGCTTGTTGTAGTGTTTTAGAATCTCAGGTTCAAGTGTTGAAGAAGGAGATTCTACTTCTTCAGGAGGAAAATAGGAGGCTGAAGCTTCGCATAGATGAGTTTGGGAGCGAGTGTGAGAAGGATTTAGCTGGTAAGGAGGAAATGGTCACCAGCAGTGATAGTGGCAGCTGCTTTAAGTGGCAAGTGGTTCACAGTTCAGGAAGAAGGAAGATGAGAGGAGTTAATAGAGAAGATGTGAAGGTAGGAAATCGATTCTCTGTTCTCCAAGACGAGTGTACTTCAGTGGTTAGGGAGGTTGAAGGTACCACTGATTCCTCTGCTAATCAAGGTAAGAATATTTTAATAGTAGGCGATTCTCAGGTAAGATATATGGACCGTGCATTTTGTAACAGAGACAGAAGGGTCAGACAGAGAGTGTGCCTTCCTGGAGCTGGTGTTGGTGACATAATCAGCAGATTAGATAATATTATGGCAGATAATGGGAACAAGCCCATTATTTGTCTTAGTGCTAGGGGTAATGACATTGGGTAGGGCAGGAGAGAGGAGCTCCTGGATAAGTACAGGTTAGCCATAGAAGTAGTTAGGTCTAAGGGAGGGATCCCAGTCATATGTAGCATCTTGCCTAGAAAGGGAGTGGGCAATGAATGGATGTCTAGGGGCAATTGGTATAAATTACTGGCTAGACAGGTACTGCAAGGAACTTGCAATCCCATTCATTAATAACTGGGACCTATTCTTTGGCAAACATGATATGTATGCAAGGGATGGGGTTCATCTCTCTGGGGATGGAGTGGTTGCATTAGCCAATTCAATTGAGAGGGTAATTGATGACTTGTCTAGGAATTTAAAATGATAGATTATAGAGGTATGGGTGTTTATGGGAAACAATCAGGCTGCAGCATTAGGGTTAAAAACAGCAGTTATTACCGGGATACCTCAGGGATATGTTTAAAAGACAATATTCAAAATAAAGTTGCTAGTAATAGCAAATCAATTTATCAACAAACAAAGAGAGATAGTAGAGGGAAACGAGTGACTATCTCCTTTAAGGTTTACTATACAAATAGTAGGAGTCTAAGAAATAAGATAGATGAGCTAAGATTACTTGCAAGTGTAGATAATATAGATATTATTGGTATAACAGAGACCTGGTTCAACCTGAGAGATAGAGAAATGCCCTCGAATGCAAAATCAGGGGGTTTTTAAAAAATATTCC